GTTCGATTAGGATCAAAACTGAAGGGGGCGTATCTGTTCAGTAGTCTCAACCAATGAAATGCTCCTTCACAGCCCACACCCGAATACTATTGGCTCGTGCTGTATAGTTTGTCTTTGATGACAGAACAGGAGTTACTAGCTTCAAAAAGAGGACACACTTAAGTGAAGGGAAAATACGACCCAGTGCATGGAAGTGAACGAGACCGATTCACTCACTTAAAAAGACTCCTTCAAAAAGACCACAATGTCATATATAGACGATGAACTACTGTCCTTCAAAGTAATGGGGAGTGTCCATTTCCAGAAATAAACACTTTATACCTGACCTAAACATATCAAACTCATGTAATTTGATTCTAATATGAATTATAACTTACTACTACACATGTTCTCCACCCACTTGCTGTAAAAGTGTACACACAGCGCCACGTTGTCAGCCATTCGGGGATATTTTGGCTCGTGTGCTGAACGCATGCTGTATACTTCTAATCAATAACACTGAATATCTCATGCGTCATGGCCAAATGACAAATAAATAATTTTCGTACTTATCTGCCGTCGCTTCCTGAACGGACTCATCTTTCTTCACTGGTTCTGCAGGGTCAATCGCTCCTTCGGTCTTTGTACATAAAAATCTTATCCCAGCTAAAGGCTGAATGAAAGGTCTTCCATTACAGACAGTCTTTAATTTAGATATTCTGACATCCTGATAAGCAGCGCTGTAGAAGTACGCGTTTGGTAAAGTCTTCTTATGCCTTATAATGTCAGAAATCGAACGCTTTGGGCTGGTTTGAATCAACTCCTTCAGCACAACTGAAGCCCTAAACTGTAACATCTCAATCCTGTCGAGCTAATTCAGTTTAATGTCTTTATTTTTAATAATACTAGAAGACAACTTGTAGTTCTAGATGCTACGGCACAGTCAATTCCCACACTTTGCGCACCTACTGATAAGAGCCTGGAGCTTTTTAGCAGGGTTGCCAGGTTTTCACAATAACCCCCGCCCAATTGCTACTCGAACCTAGATCAATCGCGTTTCGGGGGATGGGAGGGGGGTCCACCGGTACAAATCACGTTCTGGAGGGTAAAATACACGTTTTTTGGCGGTGTTCCCCTTGTAAAAGTCGCATTCCAGGGGCTAAATATCACGTTACTGGGGTCGCTTTAACCCGCGGCAACAGCGTTAAAGTAGCCAAATTCCGCGGGAAACCAGTAGACCTGGCAACACTGCTTTTTAGTGAAGAACAATCACGTACACGCCCACCTAACGAGCTATTGGACGACGTGCAAATATATGCGCATATTCTCTCACATTATTGGCTCAATAAAACATATTTCATTTTTGATTGCCATGCACCACATCCTGCAATGACTCGCTGTATGACCCGCAATGTATGTTTTTCTGACGTTATGATGTCTATTTCAGTATAAAAAATTGTGTTAATGGCTGAATGCTTATTGTTGTTCTCCTGAAAGCAATTGTGCATTTAGCTTTTTTTTCCATTGACTAACACTGTATTATATTATTAACCAAAACTCTAGTGTTTATGTACAATTATTGTATTTATAGTACAGTATTTGTTCTGGATTACCTTTTCTTTATATTTTGCATATTTTATATTTTTATTGATATATATATTACACATTATATAGGCCTATTTTATGTATATATATTTCATACCTCTATATTTATTTCAGTATACTTCAACTTTAGTTTTTCTCTAATTTACAAGTATTTAATATGAAAAGCTCACTGAGAGGCCTACTACTTTTAAAGTATGTTTTTATTCATTGCATGACATTTATAAATGGTGATGTAAGCCTAGAAGTCATTTATGCTCCTTTTTCTCTCATGCAACATCTCATATACCTTTCTGTATGTTTGTGACCTCAATGGAAAAATTCATGCCATCAAACTAAAAAATCATGGATGCAACAACTGTCCTTTTGGAAAAAGACATATAATACCAAGTGCAGTTCAATTAGACAAAATCTGTCATAATTCTAAAAATAAATAAATAATGTGTTTAATGATGCAATTATATCATTATTAGCTGTAGCTTTTTAATCTGACGCCAGGAAATGTTAATACAAAAAGGAACCAGATGAGAAGCTTGCTAACAACAAAATTGGAATTTGTGGCATGTTTTAGAGAAAGCTGCTTATCGGATGTAACTGATCTAATGGATGTAAAATAAAGAGCTCAGGTCTGCATGAAGCTCAAGAGAAAACTCTCACTGTATACTTTTATGTTCCCAAATGTGAAACGCAAAGACTGGATTCAAGCATGCTGATCATCAGTCCAGGTGTCGGAATGAGGTTGTGCAACCACTCAGTGACAGTTCAAGGAGTTGTAATCTTTATGTTGGTAAACTTTAGGAAGGAGTCACTAAAGATAAAAATAGATTACTGTTTTGGTCTGAGATCGTATTATTTTGTGCCACAATAGTGCAACAGTAGGCCTCTAGAAGTAGCAGTTCCATCAAACATTACGAATAACATTATTGAGTCAGTCTCAAACTTCCCAAAGCTTGTTAGTTTGGTTCATGGTTCAGACATTATTATTTCTAATTTTTTTTGGTGGGAATGGGAAATATAATTTTGGAACCAAGGCAACTGAAAAAGTATACCTCACTGTTTTGCTTTACTACAGACCAGCAAACAACTCTGGCATACAATCATATGCAATATCGTATCAATCTCTTGACTATCCAGAAAAATAAATGCCATTTTGGTAAGTATTGGAACAATTTTATTTTCTGTGTGGGAATTATTTTTAGACTGCATGCCTACTCTTTCTGGAAACTTCTAAACTTGAATGAGGCCTAAACCAAAAGAAAATGTTTTTGTGCATTTATTTTTGCTTCCTACTGTCACAGAGAGGTAATTACACGATTTCACTCTTGACTTCAAAAGAAGACTGTAGAAGAGCACATGTATGTATGTGATGCTGCCATCTTGTGGAGAATGTGTATACTGTAGTGAGAAATGGGACTAACATACTGTACTGTATGTAGATTAAGCCCGGAATAGCACTAACTGAAAAAATAATGCATTGCATTAATAGTGCTTGCATTTTATTAATGCCTTGTATTTCCAGGGCTTGCATTTTTAGGTCCTGAAATTTAACATAGTTGTTTATTTAAGCTGTAAATATTTCAATTCAAAATATTTCACACACATTTTCATAATTAAAAATGCAATAATTCATATTCACCTTCCAGAAATCACTTCCAAAATGTTTAAATCTGTTTAAAAATACGATGTATAATATTCGACAGGCAAATTTCGGTCCATTTTATTTCACTTTCCAAATTCGCTTCCACAAATGCAGTGGTTAAAATTCGGCAGAAAAATCGCCATTGCACATCCGGGAACTGCAGGAATAGCAGTAGAGCACCGATGCATGATCTCCAGCTGCTGTCAGTCGCTCACCAGCAGGTGGCGCAAGCGGCTGTTGATGAAGACCAAAGCAACAGGTGGATCAAGTCATTCATTCACAAAAACTGATCTGCAGAAATGGAGCAAGCGCTAAGTAGAAGTTTTGATTATCGGGGCCAGTATAAACATGTGGAAAAGCTGATTGTGTGTATGTTTAATTCAGCATCTTCGCTGTTTCCCGTAGCCTACATGTAAGCAGCTTTCTCCACAAAGGAGATTATAATGCTATTTTACCCAACGCTGAAGTACAGAACTAACATTACATCTGAGGAAGACATTTATTGCTTTCGGTTGCTTAGTTTCCGTAACTTTGTATCATGGCTTGTGTGAAGCTGTGCTGTAATGCTGGGGTTCCCCTCATACATCACACTCCAGGATTCCCCAATGATGCCTCAGTGAACTAATACAATGATATATATATAAATATCTCTTACAAAAAATTACAGTGGCAGTATATAGTGATTGTACCAGATGGTAATATCACGGTACTTCAAATGATACTGTGGTAACCTTTAGGGGCCCAAACTAAGCAAAATATACAATTTACAAATTTTATATTGTCAAAAAGAAAGATGAAAATCTGATAATTACATAAAATGTGTATAAATATCAGTTGTCACTCTATATTTCCCAGTAAGAAGATAATATATTTAAATGCTTACTTTTATGATCAAAGTGCTGTAGTTTTTATTGTTGGGGCAAATTCATATAATTCAATGCAATACAATGCTGAAAAAGAGCTCAACGAATAAACCGTCCTCAAAGCCTGATGTATCTTTTATATTCCCATATTAGTATGAAAAAAAATATATGTATGGATAGTAAACCATCAGCTGCTTCAGTCCAGTAAGTGTTCGTCTTAAAATATTACTAACAATATAAGAGTTTTTACGTTTACTTTAAATGAAAAAAAATAAATAAATAAAAGTTAAATTCTTTAATTTGAAACAAATGACATCATTTGTAGTCTCACTGAATACTTTCCCCCCCTCCATTTGCACTAGAGGGCACTATAAGGTGATGTTCTCCTTGGACTCCATGCAAGAAAACATTTCAGCTGTTTACCTTGAACTTTTTTATCATTTAACGCAGGGGTAGGCAAGTTCGGTCCTAGAGAGCCGCAGTCCTGCAGAGTTCAGCTCCAACCCTGAAAAAAAAACTCACCTGCCTATAGCCTTAGTAATCCTGAAGACATTGATTAGCTTGTTCAGGTGTGTTTGATTAGGGTTGGAGCTGAACTCTGCAGGACTGCCCAGCTCTCTAGGACCGAACTTGCCTACCCCTGATTTAACGCTAATCAGGTTCCATGTTTTTCTCTGTAGGGCACACAGTATAAACCAGTGATGGGCAAACTTGGCCCTTCCAGGCCACTTTCCTGCAGAGATTTGATCCAACCCTGATAAAACTAACCTGCCTGTAGCCTTCTAGTAGTCTTGAACAGTGGTTCCCAACCCTGGTCCTGGAGGCACCCCAACACTGCACATGTTGCATGTCTCCTTTCTCTGACACACCAATTTCAGGTCTTGGAGTCTCTACTAATGAGCTGATGACCTAAATCAGGTGTGTTTGTTTAAGGAGACATGCAAAATGTGCAGTGTTGGTGTGCCTCCAGGACCAGGGTTGGGAACCACTGGTCTTGAAGACAATGATTAGCTGGTTCAGGTGTGTTTGATTAGGGTTGGAGCTAAACTCTGAAGGAAAGTGGCCTGGAAGGGCCAAGTTTGCCCACCCCTGGTATAGACAAACAGTTTAGAAACCGCATTTGCAGTTTCATTAGGTTGCAGGCATTACATGACTGTTTATATTTGTTATACGAAGGCAAAATGCTTGTTTTGTCCTTGAATCGTTCACAATAAAAACCACAATGACCTGAATGACGCCTTATCAGGCGAGGCACCGCGACCGGTCTGTGACATCCGTGCGGAGAGGCATCATTCCGGGCTGACTGTGGGCGGCAGTGGGGTGTTTATCAGTATTGGGTTAGACGCACACAGACATTGCCTATACGCACAACAAAGAGTGGAAGCACAACAGCAAGTGTTTATGAGTCATTCTGCAGTTTCAAAATGTGTTAATATGATGTAGATGCAAATGAATAGAGGTGTAGACACATCGACCCACACGCTGCCCTCACTGTCATCCGTCTGTATGTCATCAAAGGCAGATAGGCCTACTTGAAAGAAGATAAGGAACATCACCACAACTAAAAAAAAAAGTAAAATAATAGTTTAGTACATATAGTTTACTTATTTGTACTCCGTTATTTAACTAAGCATATTATATATTCAACTTTTTTTTTCTAAATATGTTAAATACACACTTCATTTGTCTTACTAACGACAAAAGCACATACCAAAATTACTAAAACTTAAACTAAAATTAAAATGAAAACTGAAAACTAATTCAACATATTAATACACACTAGTAGGCTATACAAATAATACTAAAATAACAATGATGTGAACTGATTCAGGACTTTTTAAAAAAAGCATCCCAGAAGTTGGGAAGGAAATGTAAAAGAAGATGAAATGTAAGATGGTTTTAATGTAGCCAATTTAACCTTTTTTTTTCTTTTTTTTTGATCATTAGGCCTACATAATTATTATATAATTACTTCCATTTTGTCATTTGTGGCATATTTTGATGACTTTGTTGTTATTCTTAATATTTAACATCAATTTCCTAACAGTAAATGTTAAGAATAGTCATAATAAACGATTGGCTTGTAGTGTAGGCTAACTATCTTAAACGCCTTTTTTGTTTTTCTTTAAATACTAGATAGCCTAATCATAATCACGAAGGCCAGGAATTTCTTGCTATGCATATCACAACGTCTTACTAACACAAAGGTCAAAGCACAAGTATTCAGACCACTACAGCTGTAGTCAGAAACTTGCACTAGCTACCGTAATTTACTAAGTAATCTTACAAAAAAAACAAAAAAAGCTTTGTTCATTGACATTCTTTCAATGAGTCACGGGTTTCGAAATGAATAGTTCTTAATAATATTAAATTAATTAAAACGGGAAAAGCGATTTTCAGCTTTATATTGTTACAATGTTGGCACTGTAAGTAAGTGAACAATGTGTTTTATTTTTCCGTTTTACCGGCACCAGGATTTTCCCGTCATCTTAAAGGGGTCATATGATGCGATTTCAAGTTTTCCTTTCTCTTTGGAGTGTTACAAGCTGATTGTGCATAGATAAGATCCCTGAAGTTGCAAAGACTAAAGTCTCAAAACCAAAGAGATATTCTTTATCAAAGTTAAGACTCTGCCACGCCCCCCTAAAACGGCTCGTTCTAACACACCCCACATATCTACAAAGCATGTCAACATATTCTGTTACACCAAATACACAAAATAATGATCTTTAAAAAAGCATCATATGACCCCTTTAAATCCGCCGGATGAGGCGTTTTACGTTTTTAACCGCCAGGGCTTTTGTGAAAACTACAAATCCTACTTCCGCATTTTTATGTTCCTGCTCACAGATAGCCGGATCGAGCCCAATGCATTGTGGGTGCTGAAGTTTTCCAGCCTTTTTAAAATCTGTTTTCTCTAGTCGTATAGATTAAAAGACATTTAATAAATACGTCTGATTTTAAGGATATTGTATGTTTACTTTTATATGTTAATCCACTCGTCCAGTATAAAATCTGGAACAAAGCATGAGAAATGAAAAGTACTTCACAATCAGATGTCAAAAAAATAGAGTTTAATGTTCATGTGCTGTATAACAAATTAAATATATTAGTGTTTACAAAACAATATGTGCAGGACTACCGTATGCATATCCTAATGTACTCTCTACTCAAAAGTGACGAGAACAAGTTCTACTGACAACATAGTTTCATCCCACAGTCCAAGATGCATAAATCTATTATACAAAGCAAGTACAAAGATTAGAGAAAGACTGATCATTTCTGTGAGTGGTTAAAGACAGTAACAAGCAAGGAACAAAGGTAGGCGTCTAGATATGTCTTGCTATATAGGTCATTGGTAACGATGTAATCAGTAAGGTCCAATCAGATTTTTTCTTCATCAAACTGTTTTTTTCCAAAGCAAATTTTGTTCCAGTGCTTTTAGAGAGCTTGATATTGCCAAGACTTTAAATCTTTAAGCTGTTCATACAACTTCCCAAATCTCATTTCATATTCCACCTAAAACGAACATCCAAAATAAACTACTACCAGTGAAGAATTGTAACATGGAATGCTTTAAACTAAGGCAAAAAGTTGAAAATGCAGATAAATATTGACACAACGCTTGTCTTTATCATACGGGACGACTCGTAACCCACCGACTTATCGCACGCTCTCAAAAATATGTTTCAAATGGCACTTAAATTAAGATTTTGCATACTCGAGATCTCTTAAGTCTCTGAAAATAATCCTAAAAAAATAAAAGCACACAATATTTCCACATATTCCCTCGAAATACTGAAGTGTATGATCAGGATGTTAAAAATCGGTCTCCTTGTACCGATATAGAGAGGTATTTGTCATTGACACAAATACAGATGATATAACAGCTTGACAGGTACATTACAGACATGTAACTGGAAAACCTGATTATCTCGTGCCTACTTCACCTCACATGATACTCTAAAACTACACAAAGAGTGTGACTTGATGATTTCACGGGTAAAAGTCCTACAAAACATGTATCACCATTGAGAAACAAGAAATTTTGAGCAGTAGGATGCAAATTCGAGAATCAAACACTAGTGCATATCAGTTTCACATACATTTGCACATTAGCTGAATCTAAGACTATGTCTACACTACGAAACAGAGTAGAAATACTGTACAGTGAATGTCCTCTGAGGTGTCTGGGACACCTAGACACGTTCACTGAGTTAAGTGACAACAGCTACCCGGTATTGCTCTACGACTAAATATTCAGAAATACAAATACATTACGTGATTGTGATAAAGACTGGAATGGTGCAGTAATGATGCTCAGTCAGTCCAGTCAGATGAGAATGTTTTTAAACTATTTACATGACTATTGGTCAGGAGGGGACACATGCTTGTCTATATTAGCATTTTGTTGGTATGTACAGAGTACGATGAAATATATTAATTGTGCTTAGTATCGGAATAAATCAGGCATTACTATTCGTTCAAGATGACAAGGAGGCCAAAAGTCTGGCTCCGAGATTTCAGTGTTTAAATAGCAACATGTACCGCAGTTTTCCTCTGTTACGCAAGTAAATTCAACCATAGCACCATAGTAGAGATCTTTAAATTCAGATTCGTTAGCACTGCTATCAGAAACCGACAGAGGAAAAGACGACTTCTTTAAAGACCCCATGAGATCAAAATTAGAGTTTTTAGTCCCTATGTGTCATCTGTATGCTAGTGTACTAGTGAGAAAATTCACTTTTACGCATTTAAAAACCACACATTTCTTTCTCTTCTGGGATAAACAATCAAAAATATTGATTACGGCTGCACGATACTGGAAAAAAAACGACATTGCGATATTTTATTTTTCTGTGACTGGAGAGTGCATCTGAATAGAATCTAAAAATAATTTTTAAAAGCTGAAAAATTACTTCGATTACTTACTATAAAACTATACTATACCTCCATGAACATTTTTGCTCTTTATTTCGTAGTTATGTTAAATTTTGTTCATTTTGTAAATATTCAAACTCTAACAGTTTAAGTGTCTTTATCAGAGCAAAAATGGCGAGAAACTAAAATAAACTCTTTCTTGAGGCAACATTGGTTGTTAAGGCTTTACTGTAGTTGTGCTTATTTAATATTCACTGACAGACGACGTGTATTGTTGTAGGTTTGAAATGAAAGCATTCGGGGCTGCTATCTGGAATCCTCTGGCTCTGACTTGATGGTCTTCTTCTCAGAGAGGTTGAGGGCACGTGAAGATGCGTCTCCTCCGTTTTCTGGAAGAAAAAAAAAGAATAAGAGAAATGCTCTGGATTACTGAAACCCTTTATGTCATTTATGATAAATTACTTGCAAGGTTCTTCATGTGCAAGTTGTTCTGGTTAAAAGTGTCTGCTAAATGAATAAATGTAAAGTTGGCAGTTACAAATATTATATGGATTATTCCTGTTATGCCCGCTCATTTATGTCTAAATATAATGGTTAAAAATACCTCACAATGTTAAAGATCAAATCATGTTAATTAGCTTTTACCAACTAAGTGAAGCTAGAACATATGGTGAAATTAAATAATTTCATTAATTTAGGAATTTAATGATCAGATGTTGCCATTTTTGCCATGTCCCCTTAAGCTTCTAAAATGGAAAAACTGACAATTTATTAAAAATTTAATTAAATAATACATTAATAATAATAACAATAATAATATTTTCTATTAATATTATTATTATTAATAATAATAATCTTCATCATCAACCATAATAATTATTTATTATTTTATAATATCTGAATGCCCTTTTATAGAAACTCTTCGTCATATTATAACACAAGCATATTCATATTTTAAAAATAACAGAGCTCAACAGGTATTGCAGGAATAACCCATGTATGAAAAACACATTTATCTAATTCAGCCATGGAGCGCTAATGTTTTTATGGTCCTAGGCTGTAAGAATGTAAGATAACGTGCAATAAAAGCATCTACTGGAAGACACTGAGAGTGTGTGTGGCTCCGTTCCAAAACCTAGTGTGCTGCTTTGCGGTCTGCTAGTTAGGTGGCATCTTAACTGAAATGAAATTCATAAGTTACAGATTTGAAATGCTCTACAAAAGGCAGTGTTTTCAACAGTTTGCCATTATCATGTTTCTAAAAGATCATAAACATATACAGTACAGTGGAGATCAAAATTAGAGAACAATCAATAAATACTTAATAATAATCTTTTCTGAAATATTGTTAATCGTCATCACTCAAAATGTGAAGGAATATTAGCTGTTGGTATACCACTGTTATACTAAAATGTTTGACAAAATAACCAAGGCATTTCAACAAAAGCCTTTATTTTGTGGAAAACACTGTGATCAAAATTAGAGAACAGTAACCACTGTAGCATGAAAGAAGATTGCAACTATAATTTTGGAGGGTTACAGCTGTTAGAAACAAGTAGGGAGTGTAGAGGCTCCTGCTTTGATTGACTTCAGCACATCTGCGGCCGCAGGACATCACTAGTTTCTCACACTGCGCTGGTGTGATCCTGGTCCACTCTTCTTCCACTCTCTTCCATAGTTTGGTGACTGTAGTGGGTTTCTTAGCCATAACTTTGAAGCCAAGGATTTTCCAGAGATATTCAGTCGGGTTTAGATTAGGACTATTTGGCCATTTCATTATTTCAATGTTCCTTCAAGGAACTACTTTACCCGTTTTGCAGTGTGACGGGGGCATTGTCTTGCATGAAAATTGCAGGCTGATTGGGAGACGCTTGCAGGAAAGGAACCACATGTTGCTGAAGGAGGTTCTGATAAACATTTGCATTCACCCTGCCATGTACTGTAGCTGTATAAGAGGCCTAACTCCTGCTGCAGAAAACATCCCCCAAGCCATGACACTTCCTCCTCCACCTTTCACTGACTTCTTTATGCACTCGGGCTTCAGTCTTTCCCCAGTTTGACGCCGAACAAAATGTTTCACATCAGACCCAAATAAATTAAAGTTGCTCTCATCACTGAAGTGAACTTTGGACCAGTTCTCCTCTCTCCACACAACATGATCCTCACTCAGCAAAGGTGAGCCTAGCCTCTTGATTCTTTCTGCTGATGAGAAGCTTGGTCACTGCAGAGTGTGCTTTCAGTCTGACTTCTCTTAAACGTGCCGAGAAAGATCCATACACAGTTCAGCACTGAACTGGCGAGCAATTCCAGCTGCAGTGTTGAACCGATTCCCCATTGAGAGTCTCTGCATTATCCTGTCCTCTCGGGCATATGTCTTGCGTGGACGACCAGCCTTTTTGGGGGACTTGAATGAATTAATGTCTTTATTAGCTGCAATATTCGAGAAACCACAGATTTGGAATGACCAACTTCTCCTTTGGCCTTCATCTGGACCGCCTCCTGTCGCAGGGTTTCAGTCACCTTAGAGCGGCCCACCATCTTGCAATCTCAGTGAAAATTGGACGAATTCTGCCAGTTAATAAACATTTGCATTCACCCTGCCATGTACTGTAGCTGTATAAGAGGCCTAACTCCTGCTGCAGAAAACATCCCCCAAGCCATGACACTTCCTCCTCCACCTTTCACTGACTTCTTTATGCACTCGGGCTTCAGTCTTTCCCCAGTTTGACGCCGAACAAAATGTTTCACATCAGACCCAAATAAATTAAAGTTGCTCTCATCACTGAAGTGAACTTTGGACCAGTTCTCCTCTCTCCACACAACATGATCCTCACTCAGCAAAGGTGAGCCTAGCCTCTTGATTCTTTCTGCTGATGAGAAGCTTGGTCACTGCAGAGTGTGCTTTCAGTCTGACTTCTCTTAAACGTGCCGAGAAAGATCCATACACAGTTCAGCACTGAACTGGCGAGCAATTCCAGCTGCAGTGTTGAACCGATTCCCCATTGAGAGTCTCTGCATTATCCTGTCCTCTCGGGCATATGTCTTGCGTGGACGACCAGCCTTTTTGGGGGACTTGAATGAATTAATGTCTTTATTAGCTGCAATATTCGAGAAACCACAGATTTGGAATGACCAACTTCTCCTTTGGCCTTCATCTGGACCGCCTCCTGTCGCAGGGTTTCAGTCACCTTAGAGCGGCCCACCATCTTGCAATCTCAGTGAAAATTGGACGAATTCTGCCAGTTAATAGGGTTTGTCATATAATTAAGGAAATTTGCACCAGGTGCCAGATTAACACCAGTAACTTGGAGGTATCTGTAAGTGTTCTCTAATTTTGATCAGAGTTCTTTTTCAAATATCTAATTGAAGTTTTTTAAATTGTGCTTCAGAATACAATTAATTTATGAAATATGCTTAAAAACTGCCCTTCTGTTAGGATAACTTCAAATAGGACTAAGCAGTGACCGTGAAATGTAGGAAATTGTAGGCTGTTCTCTAATTTTGATCTCCATTGTATATAGTACACATAGTCAATGTTTATTATTAAATAACTGGCTAGTTTTTAATAATTATATACATTTCTAAACTGTCCATTCTGAACTATTTTAAAAATTATACTTTTTCAGTTTTGAATGAATAATAAATAGATTAATAATTGACATTTCTAAAACAGTCATTTTTTATTATTTTGAACGACTTCAAATGATATTTTTCAGTTTTGAATGAATAATAAGTATTCATAAGGGATATTTCTAAAACATTTCAGAATTCAAAGTATACTGATAATGGACATTTTTCTTGTTTCATTCACTATCTAGGAAGGATATTTTTCACTGAGCTCACTGTAATGCATTATGGGATGCTTCCTTTGTCAAGGATACTTATGATGCTGACTTAACATTTCTTAAGTGTCTTAGCCTTAGGTTGCTTACGATGTCTTAAGTGTTGCCTTTCAACACACACCTGTGGCTGCTGACGTCTTGCTCTCAGCATTAGAGTGATGATGCCTCTTCAACTCAATGGCCAGCTGCTTTCCGAGAGGCGTGTCTCCGTCTGATGCATTTGTCCTCTGGCTGGTCACCCTCAGATTCAGTGGCCTCTCTCCTGTAGACATGCAATGAAACAAAGCCTTCAATTTAACTCATGTTCTCTTTTCACCTCGCTACTGTATTCAAGATCGGTGTTTAACAAACCGCAAGGCTGCATGATTATGTCCATTACCGAGTCCAAGCTAATGCTACGAGACCAACATTCCGCCTACCAGAAACACTCAGCACAATACTCACTCACACACACGCAACTGAGCTTCATTTGATACGAATGCACCTTTTCTTCAACTATAGCCAGCCAACGCACACTCCGTAATAGCCCGAGGACAGTGAATGCGGTTTGAAGCACGTTGATCGTGAGTTGCATTGAGCGTATACACCTCCTTCAAACAGCACATTAACCTCCTCTGTCCCTGGATGGCTGATCTCATTTGTGTCTATTGACAGCATCAGTGCAGCATCATGACTAATGTCTGTCATTTTTAACTTAACACAATGCCCTTTAATTACCAGCAGCTTTAATCTGAACGTTGAGGGGACATGTCTCTGCCACCCACTCCTCACAATACCTCTTTTTAAACCATAGAAGGTAATGACCACTGGATTTCAAGGTTGGGCAAAATTCAGAGTGAATTTGAATTGGTCAAGTCCTACAGGAAGTTGCACTGGAATGTACAGGATTAAATTACAAATTAAAGAAATGTATTACAGGTAATAAATTCTGGTCAAAGAAGTCTGTCTTTCATCTAACATTTGTATCTTTAATAAAAATCAAATTATATTTAATTCTTACAGTGAAGACTTCTTTCAAAAACATTTTAAAAACCTTACGAACCCCAACTTTTGAACAACAGTGTGTCTATTTATACTTAATTCAAATTCTAGAATGAAACTGCTGCTGTGGTTGAAATGGTATTGCAGTCAATATACTTGTAACCCCAATAGCACTGATTCATTTCATTAAAGTCCTACCTGCAAAGGTACAGTCAAAGCTAAAGGAGGACATATTTAGTTCTCATCCAATTCTCACTTTCTGCCTCTGCTTCTCTCTCTTTCTCTCTCCGCAGATCCCATACGCCCACTCTGGAGTTCTGAGAACACATGGGATATTAGGAAGCTGAGAGGGATCATGTACTCAGAGTTCATGAAGGAGTTATTCTCAGAGCTGGGGAGGGAGAGAGCGCTGTTGTGTTCAGCGCAGTGTGAAACAACCACAAATAATTATCATAAATAATAAACAGAGTGTCACATTAAAGCAGATGAGAAATGAAGGTTAATTATGTGGTTTTTCCAAGGAGGTCTAAAGAAATAGCTAAAGAAAGCTATGCGCTAGCAATTTATCTCAATGGTAGCTGCTTGGCTGGTGCATAGAATAAGGAAATATGCGACCTGTGTGTTATACCAAAAAACACTTATAGCTCATTTATTGGCTGATATTTGGTCATTTTGAGCATCAGATGTTTACCAATTCACAGAAGTGATCTGCCACATATAACAGTTTTTAATATGGATAATGCATAATTTTAATAGAACATTTTCATTTTTTTAAATATTAAATATTAATATATAAATATATTGCCATTAAATACCCCATGGTGGTCAGGCACTACTTTGCAATGCAAAAGCCCTTGTAAACGTGTAAACAATTGAGCTTGTGCTGTGATGCATATAATCAGTGCTCAGATTCGGTATATGCGCAGTAATTATCGTCATGTACCAACATGAGGGTCAAAATGAACTCCAGACGGGTGGCATTCTAAGGCACAAGATTTGTAGCAGAACGCAGAGCTGTGTTCATATTTCCACCCGACATCCCCCTCCCCTCTCTGACACCCACCACCCCGCCTCCGCCTGCAGCTGCCAGATGAGCCCCAGAAATGAGAGTGCCAACAAGAAACGAGAAAAAAAGAGAGCCTGGAACAGGTGATGCAAGCTACTGAATTATCTGAGAAACAACAACTGAAACACTTCACCGGTTTTTGGTACTGTCTATCTGGATGGTCAATCAAGAGTAAAAGACAGTTTGTCTGCTTTTCTGATAGTAATAATAATAATAGTTGTTTTGTTCACTTTTTTTGTCTGGGATCGTGAAAATGAACGTGCAGTGTGGTTCTCAAGTGGTTTTGCTTTAGGATTTAGACACTCATATATTAAACATAATATATTTATTATATTAACTTAAAAAATATATAAAAATATTTTTATGATATTGTAAAGACAATAAAATTAAGTATTTTTTCCAAAATCAAATAATTTGCTTTTATATGTAATTGTACAAAAGAGTTTGCTAATCCAATATTAAAATATGTAAACAAAATATATTATATAAAGATTAATAATTATATAATAACATACATGCATATATACAGTACATACATACATATATATATATATATATACATACACACACACACATATACATTTTTAAATTATATTAGATAAATATTATAATAAATATTATCATTTGATGTTTGATAATATTACAATTTATTAAGTTGAAATCTGAGATTAACACTTTTTATTCTTTATAATATATGCATACTTTCTTAGTATTAAAATCTAGTGCAAAACAATAAAAATCATCTACTTATGCCAAAATATCTGAATGAAATTAATGTCAATGAAAACAAAAAAAAGTTAAACATATTACCTTTATCTTAAATCCACTCATGTTTTCATTTTTTTTAATGTTTGTGTACTCCCTAGTTGGACTTTCATAGATAGATGATATAGATGATATAGATAAGATAGATGAGATAGATAGATAGATAGATAAAGTCCTTGCAATTACTGCACAGCAAATTGGATTAAAGGCATCAATCACATAACAAATAACCCATCATCTCAAACTTTATAATGCAGCAAAATAAAGTAAACTGTGACAAATCATACCCAAAAATTCTTCATACAGTGGACTACCAGTAAAATTGATACAAATTTGTGTCCAAAAATTATTCAGACCGAGTCTGGGAAAACAACTGAAGTTCAGGTTTGCATGAAGCTGGATGACAGCATGCCCAGGAGACTACTGGCTGTCATTGAGGCTAAGGGCTGCTCGACTAAGTATTGATAGTTGTGTAAATACTGTCATACTAACAGCTGTCTGAATATTTTTTGGTTGATTGTAATCTATTACATACCTTTCTATCAGAATTATCTAACATTATCAAGATGAATTTGTTCTGACACAGTGTAACTCTGAGTTCTTGTCATATTTTATTACCATTTTCTAAACTATAGCGAATAAACTGTGATAATGTGAGAAATGTTGAAGGTGTCTGAATAAATTTTGGTTTGACTATCTATTTGATAAATGAAGTTAACCAACTAACATTATACATACTCTTTTGGTTTCTGTACCCAATATTTAAAAAATGTACAAATGCAATAAAAATATTGGTATCGGTACTCGGTATCGGCAAGTACCAAAAATAAAAGTATCGGTATCGGGTGAGTACTGGAAAAAGTGGTATCGATGCATCCCTAATATTAATGATATCAGGCGCTGCGTTAGTAAACGATATTATAAATATCGTTCTTGATGTGAACTGGGGGCCCTTAAGCTACTAAGGAGCAGTAAGCAGTTAGCAAACGTCTCTGTGAATTTAATTAACTGGCACGTCTCCAAAGTTTTTCGTATTCAGTATAAAAGGATTCATGTTTAGATGCTGTCAGTGTGTTGATGTTGTATGTTTCTGTATATGCAAACGTACAGAAATATACATGCACACTTTATGTGTGAATACCAGCCTGTTTATGCATAGCAGGAGGGCCTGGTGCTGTATTTATATTCATATATTTATATTTATATTCTTACTTAAACAGATATTTACACATAAACATGCAAAATTCACACACTGTGTTACTGTATATGATTTCGAATGTGGATTGTTTAACACAGATACATGTACACACACACACACACACACATATACATTTTTAAATTATATTAGATAAATATTATAATAAATATTATCATTTGATGTTCGATAATATTACAATTTATTAAGTTGAAATCTGAGATTAACACTTTTTATTCTTTATAATATATGCATACTTTCTTAGTATTAAAATCTAGTGCAAAACAATAAAAATCATCTACTTATGCCAAAATATCTGAATGAAATTAATGTCAATGAAAACAAAAAAAAGTTAAACATATTACCTTTATCTTAAATCCACTCATGTTTTCATTTTTTTTAATGTTTGTGTACTCCCTAGTTGGACTTTCATAGATAGATGATATAGATGATATAGATAAGATAGATGAGATAGATAGATAGATAGATAAAGTCCTTGCAATTACTGCACAGCAAATTGGATTAAAGGCATCAATCACATAACAAATAACCCATCATCTCAAACTTTATAATGCATAAACTCACCCTGCTGGTCAGCGTTTTTGTCAACGGAGAGACCGTTGCTTTTCTGTCTGTCTGTGCTATGTTTGTAGGGCCCTGGTGGAACCCTCCACTCTAGAGCCTGCAATCTGTCCTGAGCCGCGGCGTCATGCAGTATCTCCATCTGCTTGGCCAACAGACGCTCCAGCTGAACCTATAATATGCACAAACAGCAGGAAGTCAGACAGGCGGATATGTATAGCATCGTATGTACAGTGTGACAGAAATTATTTCCAATATTCACCATTCACAACATACTGCAAGTGTAGTGCTACAAAACAAAACTAACACAAAACAAACTCATACAGTTCAAATATCTGGTGATTTGAATGCTCCTCAATCACATTTGAATTTGAAACAGGGTTTATTACTATAAATATTTTGTTACTATTATATTAATGCTTTTGCTGTACATTTTTCGGATAAAATTTAAAACCACACTACGTGTGGAGCTTGATTTAATCCAATAGCACCCCTCCTACATGTGCAATGTCATCCTACCTAAAAAGAGGCAAACAAAAACTTTTTACCACTTTTTTTTAACACAAGAAGATGCTATTCACAGTTACAAAATGACACGTTTCCACTTCAAAACACAAAAGCGGCATAATTAACTGATGTTTCTGAGACAATGCATTCTGTCAATCCATCTATTGAAAAACAAACAAACATAACAATTAAAGAGAAAAGACAGCCCAGAATATGTTTTAAATGCTCAGAGGATACTCTAACAGCTTAGGAGACATAATGGAGAGAAGTATCAACTTTGCCTTAGATACGAAGGACATAAAAAGACACAAATGAGATGACTGTTGACAAAAAGTCAGGAAAGAACATGAAAAAGATAACTTCTAGCTATGTAAGCATCACTGCATGCCAAAGTGTGTAAAAAAATCAATTCATAATGCAATACAAGTATGCAGTGCATTGTCATGTGTTGTATATTTGTCATATATCATTTTATATTATAGTTTTGGGTTTATTTATTTTATTACAACAGAATTACCAGAGGTTACATATCTGCTTGGATAGAAGGGCCTAGAATACTGCCTTGGACAAAGAGGGGACCTGGACTCACAACAACAACTTTGATATTTAAGAGATCTTCTTTGTCATTTTCCTATAGAACAACAATCAGCAAAAAGCACTGAGAATAACAGTGCTTCCTAATGGAAGTATTTTTCATCAGTTTCATCACTTCATCAGGACATCTCTTACACTTCTTAAAAAATATCCAACCATTGATTGTTCATATACTAAACCAGCTGACCAAAAGTAGGTCATGGTCAAGAGGACAGGTGAAGCTCTTGCAGCTATTAACCCAAAAACCTGCATGATATGATACCGGAGCGAGACGTGTGGTGGTAGACAGACATGAAGACGGAGTCAGCGAGGCGCCTGAGAGCATTCCTCTCCCACACACAAATAAACACACGGTCATAATGCAGTCAGTCACCTGGATGTTCCGCCCAACCGTCTCCTCTCCTTTAGATCTGGCGTGGGCTAGCTGCTCCTTAAGGGTCTCCTGGCGCATGTGAATGGCCTGCAGCGCCTCATGGAGGTCAAAACAGCCCTCCTGCAGATCAATACACATTTCATTGATATTTCCTTTCAGTGGCAGTCAATTTCAAAATGAAGCATGCCATTTCTGCAAAAATATTGAGTTTTAAACTGGTTTTCCTTTATCCGTGTCTTGTTTCGGCAGGACAAACAAATAGTCCTACCCAAATATATGCCACTGAATGTTGCTTTATTCTGCTCAAATAAACAGAATAATCTTATTGTAGACTTTTTTGAAGAATCAACCTACTGACTCATAGTTTTGTCAGCATGTTAAGCTAGGAAGCGAGTATTTTAGCACCAAAAAAAGAAGCAATCACTCCACAAACACTAAGTGCGTAAGCCACAATTATCCAAACAGGTGACAATTTGCAAAAACGTCCCGCACAGTATGAAGGTGAAAAAGACAGCCAGGCAAGGAAAGTCTTCAGGCCTTCAAGATGATCATGTTGTGACAGAAACATTTGCCGTTCCCCTAATAAAGCTATCTCACACTTGCTTTTCCCAGTTGTCTTTCTTTATGCAGCTTTATTGTGTGCGGGCCTTTTTTTATTTTTTTTGCAAATTAACACCAAAAAAATGACACATCACATCACGAGAAAACATATGTCATAGATGAATCTGTGACCACTTCCAGTAAGTCCACAAACTATGACAAGCAATGGACAGAAACCTATAGCAATATGAATCAAATATTTACTGGAGGACCATGAGGTTAGTGTGACACTTAAAGATTACCCGCACAATACCAGGACCAGTTGTTAATCTCAACCACTTCACAGAGCGAAGCCACTAATTTTTAACTAACTAAAGCTTCATTCCTCTTGAGCGAAAAGGTCAGATACTTAATAAAATGTCATCTCACTTAAAAATCCCCTCAGGATGAGTTTCAACCTGACAGGCGGATGAACAAACAGAACATTTTGTCCGACTAATCACTACGTCTAAATTACTACACGAAGGATGAGCTTGAAAACTTCAAATGTTTACATGGGTTGCCATGGGTGCAAACTACCACAGACATTCCAGTCTTTTCACTACTAGTTGGGTGTTTGAGGCAGAGAGGTAACTGCTAATAACAGCTCTGACGCAAATTTGCCAACACTCACGCAGCACCAACGAAGTCATCGAGCCACTCCTTTGAGTTATGCCTTTTCTCTTTCTTGACACGGAGGCTGGTCTTCTAGAGTGCATAGACAAAGGTGCGTGCATACGCCTGCATGTATACGCATGTGTCTTCAGACTCGGCCCCTTTTCACTTTGTGGTATCTGCGCAAATGCATGGGCGTGGGTGATTCCAAGTGTGCCCACGTAATGATGTCACTTCTACCTCAAGAATACGGGTGGGTGCGCAACTGATCTCATTTGGACCTTGTCTGGGTGCATGTGGGCGGGCGGCTTATTCTCACTGGTGTGGATGGGAGTGTAATGTGGGCAGAGTCGAGGCCAGACAGGGACAGCGAGAGGGGGAGGGGAAGTTTATGCTTTTTTTGCAGTTCAGACACACGTGCAATTAACTGTCACACACTTTGAAATGGTTAAACATGGAAAATCCATTCTAGAGTGAGTTACGTACAAATTAACTGCATCAAAAATGCACAAGCAATGTAATAAGCATGAAACAGATTTACAGCAAGACACTAACTTAACTAGAATTTTCAGTAGCATAGACAACAGTTCAACAGTTTTTTAAAATAGCGTAGCTTTGTTTACAAACAAGTGTTTTTTGCAAAAAAGTGGTGGAGTAGCTTGACCAATTCGTAAATTGCTAAAAGAATGTGACAAAATAGACCCTCTCTCTTTTAAATGTAGCAGGAAAGTCAGAATGTAGTGAATCAGATTGTTTGGTTCCGAAAATGATTCACCAATTCAAGTAGCTTGACCAAACGGTATGATGCTAAAAAAGTGACAAAATATACCCTCTCTTTCGTAAGCATAGCAGGAAAGTTAGACTCAGTTTAATGAATCAGTTTGTTTGGTCAAAAAAAATAATTCACCGATTTGAGTGGCTTGACCAAACGGTACGTTGTTCAAAAATGTGACAAAATATAACCTTTCTCTTTTAACAAAGCAGAGAAAGTCAGATTCAGTTTAGTGAATCAATTTGTTAATTCAAAAAAATGATTCACAGATTTAAATAGTTTGACCAAATGGTATGCTGCTAAAAAGAAATGTGACAAAGCCTACCCTCTCTTTCTTATACGTAGCAGGAAAGTCAGATTCAGTTTAGTGAATCAGTTTGTTCGTTCAAAAGATGATTCACTGATTTAAGAGGACCAAACGGTACATTGTTCAAACATGCAACAATATATAATCTTTCTCTCTTAACAAAGCAGAGAAAGTCAGATTCAGTTGAGCAAATCAGTTTGTTTGTATAAATGTAAAAATGATTCACCAATTCAAGTAGCTTGACCAAACGGTACACTGCTAAAAAAAAAAAAAAGTGACATATGATCTCTCTTAACGAAGCAGGGAAAGTAGATTCAGTTTAGTTTGTTCAAAAAAAAAAAAAAATGATTTACCAATGTCATTAGCTTGAAAAAGTTGTACATTGTTGAAAAATCTTACAAAACATACATTATCTCTGTTAAAAGTAGAAAGTTCAGTGAATCCATTTGTTCAGTTCAGTTCAGTTCTTACATTTGCGGGTGGGTTTTCAGCTCTATAAAGAAAATAAAATGATTTCTGCCTTACTAAATTTCAATAATTCATTTGATAAATTATAATATGGTTAATAGGAATGTGCCATTTAGAATTATGCCAACTTTAATCAGCATGACATGAGGCATCACATTTACATCCATACAGAATTAATTTACATGGAACAAAACTCCAAATTGCTGCTAGAACCTGCTTAAATGATCTGGATTTGCTGAATAGAAAGTGCTGTTTGGTTGCCTGTCACTGCTTGTTGAACTTGCAGATGTCTTTTTTCAAACAATGGGTAAGTAATTCACTCCATTATTGTATGTTGCTTCACATAAAAAAAGTCTATTGCAAAAGACTATGTTGATAAATATGCTTATAGTACATTCTCAACATGATTTCTGCTGAGTTCAGTGCTCGTGCCATTCGCTAAATATGGCAGCCAAAATAAATATGCACCACTTACGTGCCGCAGATGCAGTTTCTGTTAAAGAAAGTTAACATCCTTTGTAAATGTTCTCAATATTTTCTCAAATATTGCATTTCATTGCTTGTTTTAACTACTTTCTTGTTGTATTTGCTGCAAACATAAGTTTAGTGCTGTAACCCAAATTGAGATCTTCATTGTTTTTTTGTGTCAGATAAATACTGCTCTGATTACAAAAACTAGTTATTTTTAGTAGCTTGTAGCGTCATTGACTAGAGTAAATACACTACCATTTGTTATGTTACAAAAGACTTCAATTCCAAATAAATTTTTTGGTTTTTTTACTTTCTATGCATCAAAGAATCCAGAAAAAATGCATCATAGTTCCCACAAAAATATTAAGAATCAGAGTTATCAACATAATAACAACAATAAAGGTTCCTTGAGCACCAAATCAGCATATTTAAATGATTTCTGAAGCATCATAGACATTAATGAGTAATGGCTGCTGAAAATTCTGCTTTGCCATCACAGGAATAAACACTTATTTTAAATTGTAATAATATTTCACAAAATTACTGTTTTTACTATTTTGATCAAATAAATGTTGCCTTGGTGAAAAGACACTTTCAAAAACATTAAAAAAAAATCTTACTGACCCCAAAACCACACTCTCTGCTGCTGCTGTTTATTCACATGACTAATGTGGGAACATGACGTAAAAGTGAGGTAAAACATGATTATTTAGTGAGTAACAATGCAAATTAGGGGGAATTGGAAGACAATTGGTAATTTGCCACTGTCTGATAATGATGAAGGACTCATTTCTCTTTAGATGTAGAGTGGGTAGAAACCACTGATTTTCCGAAGTGGTCGCATGTCTGTGCCCATATGCGGAGTGAAACCAGGGCAGAGGTGAAGCAGGCAAACACCAGTTCTTCTTCAGACACCAGCCCAGCCCTTCTAACATTGTGGGATGTTAGAAGTTTCCAGTAGATCTAACGACTGGACAATGATCAAATGTGTCACTAGAGAGCCATGAATGGACAGCTGCCATAGAGCACAAAGGCCTCTTCAGGAAACCACATCAATATGTGTGCAGCTAAGTATAGGGCAGACTGATCACGGATACGTAGGTTAAGGAAAAATAATGACCGTGGGCCGGCTAAATATGGATTTAAGGTGTGATCGAGGGAGTGGGCTTGAGAACATTAGTCCTTTGTAACTTCTCCAGGCTGAACTTTGACCTTTCCCCTACACCATGACATGCAATCCTGATGGAGCTACCCCGCATGCTCCTGCAAAGCCCTCCCACACAGTTCAGTATGCTGACAGGCAGCTATGCAAACAAAAAGCCACTGGACCCACCCAGTGTCAATCCTGCCTCCTACAACAGTTTCCTCGCATATTGGTGTTAGCGCCGCAGCGCACATTAACAACAAAATGACTCGAGAAATTGCATTGGAAGCTTCAGACAGATTATTTGGAGTTCAGGTTGGAGAAATCATGAAGCAGTTTTACTCACCTCAGTTTTAATTCTCTTGGGTGACGGCTCATCTCTGTCACCGCATCGAGATCTGTAGGAAAGAAAATGAAATGCTCAGCCCTGAACAAGCTGAGTAAAACCACAAGCAATTAAACATTCTTTTACAAAAAATTTGTCCTGACCAAATATTTCTATATAGAATTAAAATTAATATAAAATAAAATAAAACAAAACATAGGCATGTCTTTTTAATTCAACATGCATTATCATCAAGTAAAATGTTTTTTCACTTTTCCAGCAAGGATGCTTTAAATGAACAAGAATGACAGTGAATATATTTATAATGCTAAAATGTCTGTTTCAAATAAATGCGGTTCTTTTGAACTTTCTATTTATCAAAGAATCCTGAAAAAAAATGTATCATGGTTTCCACAAAAATATTAAGGAGCACAACTCTTTTCAACTTTGATTATATTAAGAGCATCAAATCAGCATATTAAAATGATTTCTAAAGGATCACTAAAGACTGGAGTAAGGGCTTCTGAAAATTCAGCTTTGACACCACAGAAACAAATTACATTTTAAAATGCATTAAAACAGAAAACAGGTATTTTGAAATTGAAATAATATTTCACAGCACTACTGTTTTGCTAGATTTTTATTCAAATAAATGCAGCCTTGGTGAGACTGATTTAAAAAAAACATAAAAATAATAATAAATAAATAAAAATACTCACAACCCCAAACTTTTGAATGGTAGTGTACAGTAGTTAATTCGATTTTGTATATCTATCTCTAGGAGAACATAGTCTGCCATCATGGAGATGTTATTACAATTAATTAATTGTGTATATATATATATATATATTAATATATATATATACATATTTATTTTTTTAATTCTTACAAAGAATATCTTAAAGCAAGGATTTTCTACCTTGACGAACCCTGAGACCCCCCCAAATCAGACAGCCCCACCAGGGACACTTTACACATCAACCAGCATTATTATATTATACAATCCTCAGATCATTAGTTATGCTTATTAACTAATGTTGGAAAGTTGGAAATAGTTTTATTATGTTTTATTATCTTCTGCACAGACCCCTTTCAGTAATTTCATGGACCCCTCCTTGAAAACCCTGGCCTTAAAGTACTAATATTTGCTTTAGTAATACTAGCTTTTCACCTGCAACCTAATTTGGGAGTGCCCTTGGCAAATTTCATTATGACGTAAGAGGCATTGTAAGAAAACCTGGCCTAGATAACGTTCGCAATACCCAGTCCATGACTGTGATGCAATCTTTCAAGTTTTGAATGAGTGACTGCAATTATGTAACGCCAAAAGGAATTTTCCATTCACTGACACGCAAGCCTGGCAATCCAGGAAACACCTGCACAGTCTCTTTGGATGGCAGGTATTGAGTGTCTGATAAGGCTTATGTGCCTTTAGATGCAAAGGAGTGGGAGTGTTCTCATCTCTCCGTAGACCTCAGTGCAGCACTTCACACCTCAACACAAATGCCACGCACAAAGCCGACTTTGAAATCTCGGCTCGGCTCGAAGCAAACTACCAGAGAGCAGATCCTGAGCTGCTCACAATGCACTAGCATGAGCGATCTCTTTCTGGCTTAAAGGCTAAACATCAGGAATGATTACTCTAGTCACTTACGGGGTGTAAAAAGTGATGCTTGCAGAGAATTTAAATCCATTAAATCAAACAAACAACTCCTCTACATTGTGCGTTTTTCATACTAAATAGGCAGAATCTCCAGGATATTTTGTGTTTATCAGAATTTTATGCACTGATTTAGGGGGGAAATCTTCTGAATTTTATGATTTAAACAATGCTAAAATGTTTTTAACAGAGATTGTTACACTCGTATTGAGGGCCTGCATCTGTGGGCCTTTACAGTGTTACAGAGACACAGTGTTAATACTTTTAGGGAAATTTGTCTGTGTATAATGAGCTGGGATAGGGGAAATTATTTTAAAACTGAAAAAATTGCATGCTTCAGTTTTAACCAAAGGTTCAAAAGTAGTCGATCATGGCGTTTCCTGTTTGGGAAATGACCTCAAAGTTCTTACTTGCTGGTTCTGTAAGTGTATTTGTAGGTGACCTCTCTGGAGACCTGACGGGCCAGTCCGAAAAGCTCATCTCTGCGAGTCAGCAATGCCACCTCCTTCATACAAAGCTGTGCTGCAGCCTCATTCACCGTCAGCTTTGTAGAAACGAAGGAGATTTTTATTATCAATGTGATAATAATAGATATTGTTATGTGCAAAGAATTAAACCAATCTCACAAGTAAGCAACACTTCTGCTTAAACAGACCAGCATGATATTTCAGGTGCAGCCAATTAACCAATAAAGCACGCCCATCCCAAATACACAACAATTTCTTACTGAATGTGTAGCTATGCTTGGAAGTGCATGATTTATTTAAACCCCAAAAGCACTCAAAGAGGCAAGAGCCCCATAAAACGCACCTCGTGCAGAGTCAGATGCTTCCCATCCTTCCTTTTTGAGTCGAATCTGCCATATATAGCACTATACTTGCGGATTTCCTCTTCCCTGTGTGGATCCTCGTCACTCATATCAAAAATGTGGCTGATCATCTTTGCAAGCTTCTTATTTCCCTTCAACAGTTCTTTAACCTCTCCAGAGTCACTCTTGGGCAAAGCCTGAGCGATTCGGTCCACGCACTCTGCCACGGACTGAACAGCAGCTATGTCTAGTGCCTCTAGGGCATCCCGAGGGGAAGATGGAGAGCCCAGTTCTGCCGGGGACAGGCTGTGCTCACTCTCCGTGCCGTGACTGGCCCAAAAACGTGGCTCGCTGCCACTCTGGAGGGGCGAAACGGTGGCCAAAGAGTTCCCGTTGCCTGATTCTCCTTTTCCAGGATCCACGCAAGCAGCTGCCAAACACTTGGGCACTTTGACTTGGGTGTCTCCACGGGCGCCATTACCAGGCAACAATGTGGGTGACCCTTCGGGCAGCTTGTAGACAGGAATGCTGCAGACAGGAAGAGACGTGAGGGGCTGATTGAACAGGGCAGGGTTTGTGACCCAATCGCGCAGAGATTTCTGTAGGCGTCTGACATGCAGTGGCTTGCTGGCCATGCCTACGAGCGCCATGATCTCGAGAAACTCGTCCTCGCCGGCCTCGCAGAGCTGCTGAACATCATCGCCACCCTGCTGGATGAAGGCGTCGTAGTAGCACAGCAGGTTGGCCCTCTGAAGGATGCGGTAGAGCTGCAACTCCCCAAGGGTTCTTGGTAAAGTCGCTGCCGTCCTCGCCGGCCTCGCAGAGCTGCTGAACATCATCGCCACCCTGCTGGATGAAGGCGTCGTAGTAGCACAGCAGGTTGGCCCTCTGAAGGATGCGGTAGAGCTGCAACTCCCCAAGGGTTCTTGGTAAAGTCGCTGCCATACCTGAACAAAAGAAGGAACAAAGTAAGCAATTCCAGAAAACAAAGCAAAAGAGTTGGAAGGAGAGGACACTGGTTGCCACAGCAGGGGTGGAAGAGAAATGTGTGGCTGGATCCAAGAGTGGCGACTATAAGAGAGCGCCTGTCAGGCTCCTGGGCTGCTGGGAGAGTCACATACCACACTCCACCTCTGCAACACGCGTAGGTGGGCTCTCTCAGCACAGGCCTCATTTGTTTCTGCCGGAATCTGGCTTCTACAGCTGCCACTGTCAGGATCTGGATCCGCAGCAGCACCGATAAAAGCGAGATTGACTGCAGGGGAGGGAGGTGGGGTAATGGAGGCGTGTGGGAGTGGGACGGTAGGTGTGCATGCTAAGAAGATAGCGCTCTGCATTTTACTTTAATTCACCCACTTCTTCCTTAAAAGGATCCAGGGATTATGAATGTACGACATACACGAGTGCACACATAATGCTCTCTGCAAACTTTGTCAGAGACTGTAATGCATACTAATGAGAGCTCATTCGCTTATTTGTCGGTTTTAGAAATGATATGCAAACTATGAAAGTCAGAAATCTCAACGATTTGGGGGGGGGGGAAATGTATTATTTTTAATCTGCATTTGCAAATCGCCACTCATTTGTGGATCAGATGCATTAATAGGGATATTTGCAAATGCAGATACAATGCACATGAATAATCATACAAGACTTTGTGAACACAATTGTGTACTTATGAATGATGTTTAGCATGTTTGATTGATATTATGTGCATGTGAATTAGATTACGGATGTCATATTTTGTGAATTTGTTTATTCATTTGTCACTGTAAAAATGAAAAGATCAAGGCACAATTTAGAGGTTCCTCAGAGCACCACACTGACAAAACACTCTGGAGAACCACAGAGGAACTTACAAAAGGATCCAATAAGTTCCTACAAGAACTCTAAAGACTGTCAATGACTCCTTTCCCCATCACAGGGGAACGGCATTGAGACACTTAAATTATATATTGAACTTCCTTGAGTACACAACAGGATAATTGAGGCACGTTCAAAATGATGCCTAGAGGTTCTCCAGAGGGTTCCTCCAGTGTGGCAGTCTGAGGATCTCCAAACAAGCCTTTTCATTTTTACAGTGGTGAATCATATTTTGTGAATAAGAATTAGGTTACTCATTTGTGAATCACATTTTGTGAATATATTCTTTCGGAGACTATTCTGACCCCTAGAGATATGTCAAGAAATATCTAGTGTCTTAACGTCATCAGAAAACAGTATTATACATTAAAATACACCAACTACTACTCATCACTGCAATTTTTTAAAAAGACTTTACTCTGCCTTTATATCATATCCTGTTAACCTTAATTTCACAACAAACTTGCACTGACATGTATATCTGCATTTGCAGTTTTCTCTGTCTGCTATAAAGTAATGTGGGCAGTATAAAGACATAAAATCTTCAGACAGACACTGCTTTCAGAGAACAACATTCCTATAACAGCAAAAATGCATGTCCAAAATTTGCAGAACTTTAAAGGCATTTCTATAATACACTCATATACTTTAGGATGAAAATAAAATAAAATAATTAAAAAATAAAAAGAAACAAAATAAACCTTAAAAAAAAATAAGAAAATTAAAAAATATATAAAATACTTCAAAAAATAAAATAAAATAATAAAACATAACCACTTTTTAAACAATGCCAATGTGAATGCCAGACCTCAATTATTATTCTTTCAGTGGCGGTAAAAGATGACAGATGCTGCTAAATCATCATGACTGTTAGTGTACTAGAGGTGAGTAAGAACAGTAACACAGCGAGGCTGATACGGAGTACTGATGAGTGAGTGTATGGAGTCTAATGAGGACACCCCACTGCACAGCAGAGTGATCCGCCACTCTAATGGATGACTGAGGCCTAGACCCAAGTGAAGGGTGCCTTGTTGAAACCAATTCAGTATCAGCATGGATGGCACTTAGGCAGCAATTTATCCAAAGCTCTCTCTCCCCACAGCATGCTGGCTTCCTAATGCTGGAGATCTAAGGCCAGGGCTTCACGCAACACGCTGAGAGCACTCACAGAACGTACTCGTGTTGCCCAACAGCGGCCTCTTATCAGTCTAAATGAATAATGGATTCACATCGAGACCTGTCCTAAATAGTACAATGAAGCTATCGAAAAGGAGCTTCTCTTGAAAGGCAACCTATTGGTCCTGTGCATCAGACTAAATGTTTGTGGAACAGCTGATCTCCATATGAAAGCTCTAAGGGCTGTTTTTGTGAAAGGAGCATAAGGCACTACAAGAGGAACACAATCGATTCACTACTTAAGTGGATGACTACACAAGAAAAGGAAACATTTACATTTATTAATTTGGCAGACACTTTTATCCAAAGAGACTTACAGTTGAGGAATACAACAAGCGATGTATCATAAGATGGCAATAAACACGAGAAGTGCCCGTTATACAAGGTTTCAGTAATCGATTAAAATAGCAAAAAGCTAGGACAGGAGGATAATAAGAGAACAGAAAAAGTGAAGGCATAGATTTTTTTTTAAAGTAATATTATTGGAGGCAGTTAGATGTTCACATTAGAGATGAGTTTGTACATAAGCAGTGGGGTATCTCTTAAAGGAATAGTTCATGCAAAAAAGAAAATTCTGTCATCATTTACTCACACTCACAATGTTTCAAACCTGTATGACTTTCTTTATACCGTGGAACATCAAAAGAGATGTTTAGAAGAATGCTCATGCTGCTTTTGTCCACACAATGAAACTGAATTGTGAGAAAGGTCTGTCAAGCTCCAGAAATGACAAAAAAACAACTTGAATTTCAGTCTGTTCAACACACAAAGCTATTAAATGACTTCAGATGATTCAGAATAGTATACTGGTCAGCCTCTGGTCACCATTCACTTTCACTTTATGGAAAACAGCAACATTAACCTACGCTTCTCCTTTTACGTTCCATAGAAGAGAGAAAATCATGTTTAAAATGAAGTGAGGATGAGCATTTTATTTTTGTCAACTAGTCTTTAAATAAAAATTGGTATGCGATTAATTACAAATATTACAAGATGTAAAATAACTTGCCACAATGTACCGTCTCACAGATATAAATGTCTTCAACATCACCTTTCAATCGCTTCATTATTAGAACCACTGACTCACGTTCAACCTTGATACTCTTTACTTTTCAAAGCACTTCAAAAGATGGGTGCAAACACACACTCATTTAGGTGGCAGTGCATTTAACCCAAATACTGTACGATTCATCACAGGTTCTTTCGAAAACAATAGGGGAAAATATTGGTGAGGAAAGTAGAGAAGGAAAATAGGCATGATAAAAGTTCAACAATTTGCATTTAATATTAGTAACATCCGAATTGGTATATCGGGGGGCCCAGTGTGCAAAGAGGTGGCAAACAATGAATCATAAACTCACAGGACAGACAACATTTAAAAAAAAAAAAAAATCCCATTACCTCATTCCAATTTATTATTCAAATGATAAACCAAACATGAGGCATCACCAACTATTACTAATGTTTATGGGAACAATAATAAACCATCTCTGGCAGAATCGTTTTATTATAGACACTTATCATATTGTTATTATTCTGTCATGGCAGAGCTGCTAGAAGGAAATTGTTAAATTTGGGCTATAGATTTAGAGTAAACAGTTTAGAGCCATCTACTATTCATGAAATATGAAAACGATTGCTTATAACTATAAATAATATGGTTTAAATTCATTTAAATTCTTTAGAATTAAAAGACACCATATGTGTCTATCTCAGCTGTACATTAAGCATTGGTTATTTTAAAGTTAAACATAAAATGCTGTATTTTAGTAACAATTCATCAGCACCATCCTCTTAACCTGAGAAGATTGATACAAAATATTTTTCAAGAAAAAAAAAAATGTTTTTCGCCTTAATGTTTGTTTTGCCATAGACGGCCAAATTTCATTGAAATTGTACTTTTCAACTCTGCAAACACCATTCATCAAATTTTCACCCCAAAAAAATGGCAGATCATTTTTTAGACTGCTGGCATTTTTTTTTTTTTTTTTGATATACCAAATCAGTAGTCACTACAATCAAAACAATTTTTGGACAACGACACGTATTGGTCAAAAATTATAAGCAATTGTATTAGCTACAAGTCAATCTACCGGGAATGCTATATTCAGTATTTGTTTTACAACACTGTAATATATAATAATAATAATAATTACAATTGTCTATATAAGGCTATTTAAACATTTAAGCTGTTAATGTGCTTGGCTGTTAATATATGCATGCAATTATAATAATTAATATCATAATGATCATACATAACTTTATTTTTTTTATAAATATAAACATATCAATAGCTATACATTTTTTTTTTCATTTTATATCCTATAGCTAGCTCTTGAAATTCCTTGGAAGTAATACATCAGCCTACGAAATTCACACATAGAAAAGCCATTGCACACTGGACAGCATTGGGAAAACTATGACTGGAAGTGAAGAAACGCTAAGGATGCTGTACACACAGCTTCCGACGACGAAGACGCCCACGGGGGCGCGTTCACACACGGTACCGAGAGCTGTCCGGTCTGCACGGCGCGCACATGGATGACAAAAACACGCAGGAAAGTTGCACACAATACATGAATTCAGCGCTCAACTGCATTTGCAAGCGACGCTGAACAAAAGTACTGACAAAAACCTACCTTTTTTGATTTCTTTCTGTCTTTTCCCACCAAAACTCTTCCAAAAGCGGCGCCTGGTTGTATGATTATTAAAGTTCTGAATTATGACGGTCCGTTCAGTTACGCGACGCTTCACCTGACGTCCAGTTAGGTGCCGCGCGTTCTGCGGGTAAGCGACGCGT